ACCCAATTAAAAAATGGGTAAAAGACATTTGTCCAAAGAACATATACAATTGTCCAGTAAGCACATGAAAAGATGTTTAACGTCATTAGTCATTAAAGAAATACAAATCAAAACCACCACAAGATATCACTTCACACCTAACAGGATGGCTATAATTAAACACACACACATACACACACAGAGAAAATAACAAGTTTGGGCTTCCCTGGTGGCTCAGTGGTTGAGAGTTCGCCTGCCAATGCAGGGGACACGGGTTCATGCCCCGGTCTAGGAAGATCCCACATGCCGCGGAGCAGCTGGGTCCGTGAGCCATGGCCACTGAGCCTGCGCGTCCGGAGCCTGTGCTCCGCAACGGGAGAGGCCACAACAGTGAGAGGCCTGCGTACCGCAAAACAAACAAACTAAAGAACAAGTTTAACCGGGATGTGAAGAAATTGGAACACCTGTACATTGCTGATGGGAATGTAATATGGCGCAGCTGCTGTGAAAAACATTTTGGTGTTTCCTCAAAGACTTAGCACAGAAATGCCCTATGACTAGGCAATTCCACTCCAAAAGAACTGAAAGCAGGTACTCAAACAGATACCTGTACACCAACATTCACTGTAGCATTATTTACAGTAGCTGAAAAAGTGGAAATAACCCAAGTGTCCATGGACAGATGAGTGAATAAATAAAATGTGGTATATCCATATATTTGAAAATTATTCATTCATAAAAAGGAATGAAGTTCTGATACCTGCTACAATATGGATGACTCTTGAAAACATTATATGCTAAGTGAAATAAGCCAGACACAAAAGGATAAATATTACATGATTCTATTTACATGAAATACCTAAAACGGACAAATTCATAAGGGCAGAAAGTAGATTAGAGGTAACCAGGGAAGGGAGGAGTGGGAGTCTTTGCTTAATAGCTACAGAGTTTCTGTTTGGGGTGATGAAAAAGTTTGGGAAATTGATAGCTGTGATGGTTGCACAACATGCTTAATATAATTAATGCCCCTGAATTGTACACTTAAAAATGGTTGAGATTGGGCTTCCCTGGTGGCGCAGTGGTTGGCAGTCTGCCTGCCGGTGCAGGGGACACGGGTTCGTGCCCCGGTCCGGGAGGATCCCACATGTCGTGGAGCGGCTGGGCCCGTGAGCCATGGCCGCTGAGCCTGCGTGTCCGGAGCCTGTGCTCCGCAACAGGAGAGGCCACAACAGTGAGAGGCCCGTGTACCGCAAAAAAAAAAAGTATATATTTTTTTACCACAATAATAATTTTTTTAAATAATGTATTCACACTAAATATTCCAGCTTACAGCAGAAAATCACACTATTCCTTATTTAAGGAATAAGTTTTAGTAAGACTTTAAACTTTACTACTAATACATTTTGACTATTCATTTTTAACTGAGTAAAGAGAAACAGGACAAAAATAAACATTCACTGGGTCAGAGATTTAGTCAGAATCAGGGAGTTGATAGATTTATGAGTCAAGTCAGAGATTTTTCAGTTTTTTATACTTTAAAAGGTCATTCTTCACTGAATGCTAATATCATATATTAAATACAAATACAGGAGCTAGGGTCCAGAGGTTTTCTTGGTTCTTACAGTTGTAACTCCTTTGCACAATAGCAATGTAGCTACTTGCAAGATGGATACTGAGGGATAGAACGTTCTCAGCGACAGTCGTAAGGCATTTCCAACCCCTCTTTTCCTCTTTGACCATCTGAGGATAGTGCTGACAGTGGCCACAGACAGATCTTTGTTACCTGCTTACATCTCCCTCTCCCCTCTCCTGAACTTCTTCTTTCTCATTAAAAATAATCGAGTCTGGTTTGGGAATCTGGATGCCTTTAGGGAATGAATGCTTTTTCCACATGACTATGTTTTCCCCACTGAAAATAGGGAAATATTTTTTCTCTGGACACTCCACAGGAATGGTTAAGTACCCTGCTGAAAGGAAAATCAGATCTCTGGGGTATAAGACATTACCAACATTAGAAACCCTCATAAAAATTCTGTGTTTCCAGAATTTTTCCCTTTAGTCTAAATTATTATGGTCTGAGATATTTTTCAGTGGAAGGCGGAAAATAGCTTTTCTATCAAATTAAACATCCAAATTTCTCTGATATATTAATTATCAACAGCAAGCACTTCTATAAATCATTGCATGTCTCCCCCAGATTTCCTTTTTAGGTGTTTAAGGGTATCTGTTATTATCATAATTTTTCAAATAAAGAACCTGAGACAAGAGAGTCTATCTGCTTTGCCCAAAGCAGAGTGGACTCAGCACAGAACTCCTACACCCTCCCGACACTCCTAAGAGTACATTCTTCTTTATAATTAGAACAAATCCCAGGGCCCTGTGCATAGGAAAAGGACTGGAATGAACATTAAATATGAAATATTATTGGCTTATTGAACTACTAATGTTCCTATCATTCAAAAAGCTCATATTAAAAATGACTTGGTACAACAATTTTCTGCTACAGGTTAAGACTGTACCTACCCTAACAGCATAATAACTAGTACATTGATTAAATTAGTGCTCTATTTGCAATATGGAAATCACATTTTTCTTATTTAAAAAAGTATTTTGTCAACAAATCTGAAACAGACTTCAGACTCCTTGATTTTTTTTAACCAAAACGATGCTACTACTTAAAATTTCTTGGGGGTAAGTGGCTGGTTTGTTGGGTGAGGTGGGGTGGGAGAGAGTATGGGAGATAGACATTAAGAGGTCATGGTTAGAGGCCTGCGTGAAGCCAAAAGGCCCTTTTACTTGAGACCTCATGTTCTTAGATCCACGTACAGAGAGGCAGAATGGTCCCACTATTCCATTGTTTGTTATGGTAAGATCCACAATAGATATGAACCTTTGATTCATCCTCTCCCAATCATTTTTACAGATAAAAGCGTGAAGTCCAGAAGGCTAGTCCATAGCCAGAAGACTGGCATTAAAGGACAAGACTTTAAAATTGAGAATCACAAGCACCTTCTAAAGATGGATCCTGTTGATGAAAAACACTTTTCCAGCTGAGCTCCTGAATGGATGTAGGTATGCAAATTTGAGCATAGTCGTTAAGGAGAGATGAACTGCTCTGCTTACAAAAGAATTCTCCCTGGAGTTGTGGGCCTGGACAGGAATAGGATTGGGGCGGGGGGAAAGAGGTAGCCTGAGAGACCCAGACTGCTGTGAGCTTCCCCACCACTCACAGTTCATCAGTGTATCTGAAAGTGCTGGCTGGGCATGAATTGCTAGCGGGACCTGGGGAAGGGATGTAGCTTCAAATCCAGGTTAACTTTAGAAACAGTCGGCATGTACACATGAAGGGGCTGGGGACACAGGAGACCTTGAGAAAGTAAACCTCTGTGGATGGGCAAGAATTGCAAGGAAGTGTTGGGTTTCCACAATTCATAATATTAAGCTTTTTGTGTAGCAGCAAAACCTTGAATTGTTGGCCAAACGACACTAGTTAGCAGCACAATTAGTGCTAAAACATAGGTCTTTTGATTCCTGGTTCAATGACGGTTCACATCATCGTGTGTTTTTTAAGATATACAAAGGACTTCCTGGTCGCCAGGGATTTCCTCCTTGAAAGACAGCCCAGAGTCCAGCGCAAGGAGCTGTCTACACAGGAGAATAAATTCTGGATTCTAATAGCCCCCTGCTTCAGTACTAATTCTTTCTTCAACTTTTCAGTCTGATTTACCCTTTTACTTTTACTACTGCTGTTGGTATATGTCAGAAGCAGAACAGATCTACCTCTAAATCTAGGAAGCAAGTGGAAATTCCAGCCTAGATGTTCAAAGAAGCCAGTAATATTAAAGTACTGAAGACACAGATCTAGTCATTGCAGCCTTCTGAATCAAACCTCTTTGATCTTAGTGATGACATTCATTTGCCTAAGAGGGTTATTACTCACAGAGTTGGCTGCTGCACAGGGCTCCGTTCTCAGACGGAGAAACCACTTGTAGTTTAACGTCTTACCTGTCACTGTCTTGAAATTCTTAACAATTTTATCTTTGACTGTGTGTTTTATAAGTGAAGTCCAATGGGACAACAGAGGAAGTGCTGGGGGATGGGAGCTTCATCTCGCGTGTGGTCCTGCCCTCCGGGGAGAGAATCTCTTTGCTATCCTGTCTGCTCTCCCGCCCCTGCTCAGTGACCTCTGTCATCTGCCCTGGCAGGGGTCACGGCACAGCTCAGGAAGGGTTGGGGTTAGGTCCACACCCTCTGCACTGAGCTGGGACTGAGGCCCAGTGCCTGTGAGGGGTGCACTCACCCCACATATATCCCCATGGCTGAAGGAGCCAGACATTACATAGCAGATTAAAAAAACACCATGACAGGCCAAGAAAAAGCTTTTTCCTGCTTTTTGAACAGGGAGTCCCACATTTTCACTTTGCACAGGGCCCCACAAACGACATTCTTGTCTCTGATTAGATACCTTATCTGGCAATCTCAAACCAACACTGTTTCTAGATTCTTAACTAAATAATCACAACATATAGGTAATAATAACTCTATTTATTAAAACCATTCTTTGGTTTCAAGAACTCTTAATATTAAATATAAAATCAGATATTTTCAATAGTTCAAGAGGGAAAAAGCCTCTACATTGTTTTTGCCAGCAGGTCTCATTAACAATAGGAAGTTTGGATCTGTTGTTGTGGCTTGACAGTATGTTGCATGAAATGGAAAAATGATGGAATTTTTTTTTTTCCACTGAGGCAGCCAGGAAAAAGAAGGTACTTATTTCTCCACAGTGAAAATATTATCACTCCATATTTTCTATCACATTAGGGAAAGTTGAAAAAAATCTTGTTACTTCTCTCCAATGTTGGTGTTTGCTCATAAATAACTATAGTGTTTTTCCATTACCTATCTGGCACTATGTTAACCTGGACATAGGCCAGTGGCATCAGGGGAATCAAGAGGAAGTGTAAGAAACAGCTTTTTATTTCTTTTTAATTTTGTATCTGCTTCATATCTTAATATCTTACCTTAAGCTTGGCCAAAAGAAGTTCATGATCATGAAGAAGTTTTTTGGTTTCATCTTGATTGCTTCCAATTTCCAGAAGATTGGGCTGTGATTCAGCCAATTGAAGTTGTACCCACTTGCCACACTAAAAATAAAAATGAAATAAAATGTACTTTTAGTTCCTCTTGTTCCTTTCCTTTCACCCTTCTCCTTTTTATTCTTTTCTTTTTTTAAGTTTCCAGTTACACTGTGAATACTTTATTCTTTCCAGAGATAGATAGGTCTTACATACATTGAAATAGAACAGGTCTAACATAAATCCATGCCCTGTCTTTCCTTCTTTTTTTTTATGCTTAGGATAAATTCCTTTCTCTTAGCATACTGGATATAAATTCAAAATTCCCAAATGAGGAATATATACAGTAGATTATGTATTATTGAAGAGCACAAAATTATAGAATAATTCACACACTTTTACATTCTCTCACTCACAAAACTGAACTCAATAAAAATAGTGATCTGAGCAAGTAGGGTGCAAACTTCACCAAAGGGAAAAGGTTTCATAAATGTAAGGTAGGCTGATTAGTGTCTTTACACTGACCTTGCTGATCCAGCCAGAAAGAACAAACAGCAGATGAAGCAACTGATTTTTCGCTTATTCCAAAGTTAAAACAATATTTTCCAAATTTTGTTGAATATTCAATAAAGTATGTATAAAAGTGTCAGTGAAATTAGATGTGTGACAACTGCTATTTGAATGCAGCCAGCTTGTTTTCCACACTTAGGACCCTTTCATTGCTCCAAGATATAACTCATCATTGCATTTCCTAAGGAATTGCTTTTCTAAGAAGAAACAACGGATGAAGCAAGAGGAACCGCTATGAGGCATGTGCACGTGGCTAAGTGAATTGCTGAAGAGAAATGAGAAACCACATGTCTATTCTAGATCATTAGTGCCCTGAGACTGTTTAGAAATGAGAAGTCCATATAGAGCAGACACAGGCACTTCTACTCCCTTCAGATGGACTTCCCACTTTGAAAAGCTTGGGGTTTATTCCATATGGGATGGCAGTGAACTAAGGGAGCTGGGGAGGGAGGACGGAGGGAACATTCTTAGAAACACAGTTCAGTTAAAATAAGAGTTTCCAGTACAATTTTAGAGGTTTTATTTTCTTACTGTCAATTTACCTCTGATTCATAATTTACTCTGTATGCATTCTTCCTCATCCTACTCTAAGAAATGTTTCATATTTAAGGGAAAGAAAGTTTAACTTTTTTTAAAAACAGTAATTTTTCCTCTTTTCCCTCTCTGCTGAAATTTGCAGTTACTCAAAGCATCATAAAATCAAACACAAATTATCAATTTTGCTACTTTTGCTTCAGGCTTCTTTCCATGTCCACTCATTGCCCTTGAAAAGAACAGAGGTCAAGGGACACAGCAGAGGTTCTGTTTATGTAGACCAAGTCTTAAGAGCCCTGGGGAATCGGCCTGGGTAGGCACACTTTGCATTCAGTGCTTCTAGAGTGAATCATTTTGCTCAATGTCAAGTGCTGCTTTCCTGTTAATAATTTTCACATTAACATAAAGTTCGCAGCAATTAAGTGAAAGTAAACAGGCCTGTCGTCTATGCTTCTTACAAAAGGCCAGAAAAGTCATTCAATTAAGCTTGGTGGGGCCCTGAAAGTAACAGGCTGTGGTGAGCACCAGCTTGTTTGCTAAATTCCCTTCATTAAACACTGAATTCCTGAGGTGGTGAGTTGTCTAAATCCAAGCATAAGGCTTCAGGGATTTTTACACGACATATTCATAGGAAATAAAATCATGGACGCCTTCTTCAACCTAAAGATGTGTGGTCACCTTTGCAAATGAGCAAACTGTTTGACATAAAACATGCAAAAACCTTTAAGGAAAGTGCTTTTATAAATTATTTTCCTTGTAGATTTTATTTTTAATTTATCTCTGTGACCTGCCAGGGAGAGGAGAGAGAGATGCTGTGAGCACATGACAAAATAAAATAAAATAAAATGGAAAAAAAAAAAAACCTTTAAGCCCCAAGTGGCTTCAACTTCCTGCTGTTAAGGGCAAATTTGACACATGTCCTCAGCGCTTTCCCCGTAGGGTCTTTATTCCCCCAACCATGTGACAAGGATTTACTAGTGTCTTTACCATGTCAGAACCAAAGCTGCAGAGGGCACGCGTCACGGTCTCTTATTAGGTGTTCCTTGCACTCATCATGCCAAAACAATGCCACCCCTTATCTGCTGGGACCCTCCTCTTCCCTCCTTCATGACATCCACTCTCAAAAATCACAGACATTTCCCAGGTCCACTGGACACCAGCCTGGCAATCACGAACTTTTAATCACAAATGCTTTGTCTTTAAAAACCAAACTGAAAGTATATGATAAAGTTTGTTGTTGCTTTTTAGAAAAATCAAGCTGCTTATAGATGTTTTCTGGCTAACTGAAAGAGAAACTCTAGTAACTGGCTGAAACTTAGAGGTTTTTCTCTTAGTTGCAATTTAAGAAAGCAATAAGATGTACCTGCTGGGTTATTTTCTATATGCCGTGTACTGCCGATTGTGTGGAATGTTCTTTAGGAATATCAGCACACAGCAAGAAGCCCACAGCTACACAGAAAAAAGGAAGTTGTCAGCTTACCTTTATGATGGCTATAACGATTTTGGAGTCCCCAGCCTGCACAGCTACTGAACTGACTGTTGTCGTAGAAAACTCCTCACCAGGGCTTCCTTGGCTGGACATGGTACATTAGAACCAGAGTTTACGCTTTGGGTAGCCTCCGTACAGATGTGTGTCTGCTGGTCATTTCAGAAGGCAACCACCGGGGTTACTTGGATTCATTCAGGGCAAGAGCTCCCCTCGCACTGATTACTCTGCCAAAAGGAAAGAACAGGAGGTTAAAAATAGACAACCCCACTGAGTTTATCATGAGAGAGAGAGGAAAGAACGGGAGAGAATAGCCACACCCCTAGTATGGTAACACTGAACGCCTGTTATTTTGGCCATTATCTTAAATGCAGAGGGCAGCTTCTAGCTCTCTATCAGCTGATGTTTGATAGCAAATGGAAAAAGAATTACATCCTCACAACCCAAATTACTTTAGCCACTGAATCTATACAGTTTTGGTGGGCTTTGAAACCAGCCAGTCATTAACCTGGGTATCAATCTTCTCAAAATTTTTGAAGTCTCCTCCATGCAAAGAAAACTCCCAAAAATGTACTTTAAAAATAAGTTCTGGTATTTGTTTTGGGATTAAGCCACAAAATTGTTTGAAATATCTTTTTGGATTAATCTGTTTTCCTAAAACTTACTGCCTTTTGTCAAATGAAATTTATATGAAATGGTCACATTTTCTGAGTCTCAGATTTCTTAGGGACATTTTAAAAAATATTTCAATGAGCAGTTATCAATAGATATCTACCAAGTCAGGATTTCTTTAAGACCATCTACTCCACTGAACAGTATTTTCAAGTCCAGTTGCCACAACTACTAGGAAGTAATATACTTTGCTGTTACTTTTAATTGCAGCAGGAAAATGTTTTGGGTTTTTTGGATTAAAGGTTAAGACTATGTATATTTCGCTACACTTTTTAAAAAAGGATAACATTGTACTTCAGATTCGGTTTTTACTTTTCCCCTATGCCTTGTGCAGGAAAATTATAGACAGCTTAAATCAGAGCCCAGGATCGGCAGATTAATCCTATTGCTAGAAACTCCGTGTGTGTTACAAGTTGTCGGTGGTATTAAACAGCAGCTGTTGGATTCCCTGTCAAGGAACAGCTGAAAATAACCCTGAAGCTTAGGTCAGAGGTCAGATGCAAACACATCAGAGATACTGACTCCAGAGCTGCTGGAGCCATCGGAAATCTCTGGAACAAAGCCAGAACAGAGGATATAGCAATAAGCAGGGTTAAATGAATCCACTCGCTGTTTAAACTCTTAGCTCAATTTAAAAGCACGATCAGGTTCAGGGCCAATATTCAGAAGGCTGAGTCAGCACCACTGTTTTGTTCTGCTAAGGTTCATGATAATATTCTTGAATCAAAGGGGAAATAGTGCTTTTACATATACTTTGGTTTCAGCAACTATTTTTTTTCCCAGAGCATATCCTGGCTGCTCTGCAGTTATGCAGCCATGACCTAGTTGCCTGCTGTTCCAGCGAAAGGAAACCACCCTGGATCCCAGTTCCTGGGCTCTGGGAACTTTACTTGAGGCCAGAAAGGGAGCATTTGGAACCAAGCTCGGGAGAGCAGATGACAAGAGACACCATGATGTAGGAAATACTGCAAATGGTTTCATTTTATGGCAGGGATGGGGAGCTTGCAGAGAACCAACCCAGACTCTCTGTAGGGGCTGCCTCAGTGTTGAAGGCGGGCTCCTTCTGCTTTAGCAAATAGTTGGTCCAAACAAACGAAAACAAATTGAGTGAAACCAGTTTTCAGCTAACTGGCCTGAAGGAAAACCAAGAGTTGACAACTGTGTCACATAATCTCCACACCCTAAACTAAAATGCCCAGAGGAGCCTTGCTTAAGCCTTTGTGTACACGGCAAACCAGAACAGCAAACAGTGACCCGCACCCAAAATACACAGTGCACTTTCGCCCAAAGTTAACCCTACTGTTAGAAACTCAGTGTGTGTCAAAAGTTGCCTAAAGGCCCTCAGGAGGCGAAGGGAACTTTTGGCAGCAGGCTGCACAGACCACGGCTAGAAATGAGTGGTTATGTCCACAGAGCCCCACTTCAAGTGGATGATTTTGTAAAGGGTGTGGAGGGCAGTGTGGACTGTGTGGAATCACCGGCCCACAGGAAGGGAAAGGAAGGAGAGAGGTGGGGAGGAGAGAGAACACCGCTGAAAGTCTGATTAATTCCAAGGCTTAAGGGCAAAAGGAATTAGAAATATTTAAGACTTTGTTAAAAGATTAATCCAACAATTCAGCAGCAAAGGTAGTGTCTATCTGTGTATAGATGACCTTTCTCTCCAAGCAGTCCCAGAGTGTTGCACAGAAAATGTTTTCTGCATTGGTGGACATGAGCAATAATGTAAACTGCATATACGAATTTAAGTGGTTTCTAACTAATTTTCTTTTAATTCAAATTCTTGGCTTTAAAATCTTGAAAAGACTTGAATCACTTTTCTCTCCCCTTCCCTTGCTTTCTATTTCCTTCCTCTTCAACTCTTTAGTCCTTCTCCCTTCAGAAGCTCTGTTTTTCAGACCTCTCCATCCACATCTAGCTCATTTAGAACCTTGGTCTATACGTCCCTTTATCTAGCATAATATTTAATTGTAAGTTGCATTATTTGGAGAAATAGTTTGGAGAATAGTAAATATATTGTACTAAAGAAATTGCTACACTATAATTAGACTTTTTAAAGCTTTTTGAGCTTCAGTTTGTTTATACTCCACCTCCCCTATCATCACCAAAAAAAAAAAAAAAAAAAAGACAAAACAAAAACCCTTACAGGCATTCTCATATTCTTTGCAGTTTATAGAGGATCTTGCAGAGGTTATTATGTCTTCTCTGTTTATCCCTCTGGGAAATGTCTGTTTTTATACCAGCTGAATTTTAGTGAAAAATCCTCTGTGGGGAATCAAAAAGCTATAATTGGATTCTGTAGAATTGCAAATGGCACTTCTTTCCCCCAATTTTTCTTTATTGTGGGAAAATACACATAACAAAATTTACCATCTTAACTATTTTTAAGTGTACAGTTTCAGTGATATTAAGTATATTCATAATGTTGTACAACCATCACCACCATCTATCTCCATAACTTTTAATCTTATAAAACTGAAACTCTACACGCACTAGACAATAATTCCATTCCCTACTCCCCCAAACCTCTGGCAACCACCATTCTACTTTTGCCTCTATGATTTTGACTACTCTAAGTATCTCACATAAGTGGAATCATATAGTATTTGTCCTTTTGTGACTAACTAATCTTATTTAGCATAATGTCCTCAAGGTTCATCCACGTGGTAGTGTATGTCAGAATTTCCTTTCTTTTTAGGGCTGAATAATATTCCCTTGTGTATATATTCCACATTTTGCTCATACTTTCAGCCACTGATGGACACTTGAGTGGCTTCCATGTGTTAGCTATTGTGAATAATAGCTAACCTTTGTTCTCTACCTTAATTCAGTTATTCTATCCAGAAATATCATTGTCTTCTTCCTTTCATCTATCCGATTCCTCCCATTGCTTAAGACCAAGATAAAGAATCAACTCCTTTTAAAAGTTGAAATACCTACTTATATTCCCCTTTCCTCAAAATTTAATTGTAATTCACAATTTAATAATTGCTTGAATTATAAACTTGTATTGTTTTCTATTTATTTCACTTCCATTGGTATTATTTCTTAACTAGATTTAAGGCTCCTTACATAAAGGAGTTATGTCTTAATGTCTTTTTTTTTTTTTAATCTTTGCAGACCACCTCAAGGGGTTATCGTAGAGAATAAAAGAGTTGCTTTACGTAAAGCACTTAGAAGAGGACCTGACATTTAGCAAATACTATATACACACACACACATATATAAATATGTGTGTGTGTATTAGTATACATATGGAGCACAGTACTAGGCACAGAATTAGTGCTTATAAATACTGGCTGACTGATTGAATCACATTAGTCATATAGAAAAAAGTTTTGATACAATTCACTCATTCAGTATTTACTTATGCAACCAATAGTTATGAGCATTTGCTACATACCAGGCACTTACACATTAGGAATATAGCAGTAAGCAAAACAGGTCTCTACTCTCGAAAGGGTGACATTCCTGTGAAAAAACACCATAAACAATGAAAAACATAACCAAGATAGAAATCCACAGTGATAAAAGCTAAGGGAAAACAACTGGTAGTGGTTAAGTAGGCTGAATCACAAAAGGTTATATTTAGAATTTGACAGAGAAATCAGGGGATACACTCAGGGTATTTCTATTGGAATACAGAGATTAACAGGAATAATAAACTGATAGTGATTCCAAAACAACAACAAGAAAAAGTAAACCATACAAAATGGCAAAGGCAATGGGTTAGGGGCTCTGAAGTCAGACTGCCTTTACCTCTCTGTGCCTCAGTTTCCTCAATGCAAATTGGAGATAACGGGAATAACTATGTCATATAGGTTTGTTGAGAGGATTAAATAAAATAACATTTGTAAAACACTTTAATGCCTGGCACATAGGTAGTGTTCGGATAGCTATACATGACCATTTCTAAGATAACATCCGTTAAGGGATTTCCTAAATCTAGTAACTGTCACAAAATTTGAAATAACTTTTTAAAATTAAGTTGAATTACAACACTTGGTAGGCAACCCAAATGGATGAAATATATTAGAGAGACATAAAATATGCATTACCAGGGAGGAAATATTCCAGTATAATCAAACGGTAAAAAATCTCAACGAGTCAGCAATTCTCTAGAATACCGTCTTTAACCATTCACTTTAGACAAAATTTTCCCTAACTCATCCTTTGTATTATGTAATACTCTTCCTGGCACCTCTCATTTATTTCTTGGTTTACAAGCACTGTCACTTAACATCCATAAGTAAAGTGAAGCTGCTCTTTCCTCTTAAAACAGCCTCCATTCTGGCCATCAACTTATTCTTCTATGTAGGTATTCATTTGTTCATTCACTGAGTATGATTAAATATCTAGTAGGTGTGAGGCACTGTTCTAGATGCCAGGCACACAGCAATAAGCAAAACAAAGTTCATCCACTGATGGAGCTTGCCTTCTGGTGGGGGAGGCACAGCCAACTAGAAAACAAACAAACAAGAATACATATATAATTATGTAAAGATGTAATCAGTGTTATGAAGAAAAATAAGGCAGAGTAAGAAGGTGACAGTGAACAGGGGAAGAGGGATAATACTTTAGGAAGGAGTCAGGAAAGTTCTCCTGAAGAAATGAGATTTGAGTAGAGACCAGGATTAAGTTGAAAAGAGCAAGATATGCAGATATCTTAGGGAAGAACATTCCAGGTAGCTGGGCACACTTGCTATATCTGAAAAACATCCAGTAGGTCAATGTGGCTGGAGCTAAGTGAGGATTGAAAGAAGAGGACACTGATAGAACATGATATCTACCAGGTAGGGGCCCAGTTTGCTTGGACAATCACGGTTTACATCTGTTTCCCTGGCATAATTACTCTTAAGGCACCTTCCACTCTTCAAACAGTCCTGTTTGGATGATAAATTATGTGGTAACCCTGCTATTATGCCAAGGTAAGGACTTTGGATTTCATTCTGAGAGGGATGGGACATTAATGTGAGGTTTTCATCCAAGGAATGACATCATTTGACTTAACATTGTTAAAGAAGCTCTTCATGGTGAAGAAACAGTAGGGGTCAAGAGTGAAAGCAGAGGTAGGATGAATTCCATAGCACCCAAAACACAAATGCCAGTACAATTCTCCTTTGGGATGTTTCTTTACAGACACTTAAGTTTTACTTAAGAAATATCATGACTCTTTTTTAACAGTTTTACATTCTGTGTACATTGACTGCCATAGAATTCCTTACAATTAAATGTACGTAATGACATAAATCCTTAGCTTCTCCATAAGACCTAGGAGAATAATTATAAATAAGCAACTTCAATATCCAGCAAATTTCCCTTCTATAAGTAGTAAGGAAAACAAAGCAAAACAAAACTTGGGAAAGTTCAAAGAATACCTAGCGTGGTCAAAGATCAAAGATGGCTGTACTTACTATAATTTTAAGCCATAGTTTACCAAAATGATGTGTGAAATGATAGCAGTATCTGTTCAACTATCATGTACATATTTTCCTAAAATTCTCTATTTAGACCAATGTATGATCTGGAAAACTGTCAAATACTTGTGTAGAGTTTAGTTAAAATAATCAGCAAATGTGGCTATGATTGATTTGGCAAAACTTTCTTTTCTGAATGGGAGAGATGTATATGATACTTCAAGCCAGAAAAGATTTTTTTAAAAAAATCACTGAAAAGCTTTCATGTAGAAAGTTTATTTTTAAAATTTAAACTCACACGGCTTTCTACCTGCATTGGGCTGTGCACCCAGGCTTCAGTGCAGCAGGGTTCTTTCTCTGATATAATTCCAGTTAACATAATGAAGTGTCCTGAGAGTTACCCTTTAGAAGGGAGGGTGAGTAAATGAGAAGACAAGAGTCTTAGTCAACTTGATTTCGGAAAATTACACTTTTGTTTTTCCTTACCGTTGCTAAACTCCAGTTGAGGCTGAGAATTTCCATCCCAGAGTAACTCCCAGGGAGGCCTAAAGAGCAGCAGTCCTTCCAGCTGCTTGGGAACCCAGCAGTGACACTAAGGGTGAGCTGCCACTTCTCCATGCAGCTACAATTTTTGCCAAGGAAGGAAAAATAATATAAAACTCAAGAACATAAAGATCACATAACCTCAACAAGATGGTGTTATCCATGGATTCTAAGCAGGAAGTATGCAAAGAATTAAAAAGAGAAAGTTTCTTTTTTTTAAACGACGTTTTATTAAGAAATACTAAGACCTAAAGAACTTAATGTATATGTGCATATATTTTGTATGTAATATACATATGTGTGTGGATGATTATACGTAGTAAGGCTCTGTTTATAGTGTTATAATGGGCTTTCTCAGTTGTATGAGGTGATATTTCATCATTTACTGACAGTTTATTGGCAACAGTTTAATGACAAAGCCATTTTTAATAGAATTCCCCTGTAGATTATGTTTTTAAAAACTTAACTGAGTTTCTAAAAATTTACTGTATGGTTTTTGAGATCTGCATCCTCAGTCCAAGTAAGAATGCCTCATACCAGCATTCATACAGAAGTCCCTTGCTATCGTTATCTTCATTTTTGTTAATACATCACTCACCCTAGTTGTGGAACCCACCTGAAAGGCAATGATTGTTGAGAATGTCCGGAAGGATAAAGAAGTTACTAACACCTGCAGGAAAAAGGATATTCATATACTCAGGCTTTTAGGAAAAGCAGGAAACAAGATGAGAGAAACTCAGAGAAATCTGGAAATCAAAAATGGAAACAAAAGTAGCAGGTCGTTTGTGCCCCACCCCATACAAATCACACCACTCTGAGCAAACCGGTTTCCTATCACAAATTCCACTCTCACAAAGGAAGGACTTCAAAAGCAAAGTCAATTTACTTTATGCAGAGTTTAGATTCTGCTCTGGCATGTCCCTGCCTTAAGCTCCTGCTATCAGGGTGAGTTAAAGGCCTCACCACTAATGTCTCTTGAGCACCTGCTGTACACGGGCCCTGATTTCCTTTATCAGCCCCATCCTCATTAAATCCCTTTAGGTTTGTAAAATTTATAACCAATTAATCTGGCTGGACCTCTCAACAACCTTGTACAGTTGGCCCTCTGTATCTGAAGATTTTTATATAAGGGACTTAAGCATCCGTGGATTTTGGTACCCACAGAAGGTCCTGGAAGCAATCCCCTGTGGATATCAAAGGATGACTGTACTATATTCAAGGCAGGACTGTTAATTCTGCCATATGAGTTGGAGAATTGAGGCTAGAGAAGTTAAAATGGCTTATTCAAGTTCATGAAGTGAGTGAGTCTAGAACCCAGCCACTTCCCTCTTACTCCCCTGCTCCAATGCCACAGGGAGTAAGTTCTATCCTAATGTTGGATGAAAAATTATACAGATGTCCATACAAACCAGCTAGTCCGCAAAAGTTGAGCATTCTCTGATAGAGCCCTCTGAGTCAGAACACTACACCAACCACCCTTAAAAGGCAACAACAGAAGTACAAAGCCACATATCTATTCTCAGCTTTCACTATTAGAAAACTAAAGATAAAATACACACATGAAGCAATTTGGCCAGAAAAGCTTTATAACATAGGAAATATACAAAACTAAAATGTCCTGTAAATGACAAGAACCCTTTTAAAGAATTTTCCAAATCAACGTGAGCAATCATTAGACAGAACAGCTTTATGCACGGATGTAAATTAACATTATAATAAAACTGATTTGGGTTTGTGTCATAGTTCTTTTTCTGCTCTTGTTAAAATGAAATCACATTAAGGATTTATCACATAGATGAATGGAAATCAATTCTTTAGTAACATACACTATAGGATTGTTTAGTGATTTGTTTAGCCATTTGTATGAATTATGCATTGATATTCATCTTTCTTGGACTTAAAACATGAAAGTATCTGCTTTTCAAATGTCTGTTTAAAATCTATCTTATGTACTTTCAACTTCTCAGGTTCCTAATTCTATTTTATTAATTTCTCCATACTTTAAACAGCTAAGTGTAAATATAAATAATTAAAATAAGATGTGGTTTCCTTGGATTTTCTTTTTTCCATGTACCTCACTGATATTTAAGAAAAAAAATTCATGGGGAGGGGAAATAGCTGTTTTGAGCATTCATTTTGAAATTTACCAGTATGTTGAATATTCAGTCTATCTTTACTTGCCATTTCATTGGATTATGTCAGATAGATAAATTTAATACAGATAAAAAGTAGAGGCATATATGACCATGTTTAAACATGGGCTGACTCCCTGAATACCTGAATCCACTAACTTTGGCCTTTCCACTAGTTTTTCAGAACATATTTTGATGTAATGATTTCCAACTTTTAAACTACCACACTCTGGTCTAATCTGTGAAATTACTAACCCATCACTTCCTTCTTCTTGCCAATGGCATATCATGGAGAAAATTGTGTTGTAATATTAATTAGGTTTTAAAAGATGTTTGGGGAAAATATTTATATTCCTGTGGAGATGTTTAAAGATACTTTGAGGTATCACAAATTTTAGGCTTAGAAATATTAGTATTCCAACTATTTATTTTTTCCAGGCTTATCGAGATACACTTGACATACACCATTGTGTAAGTTTAAGGTATACAATGTGTTGATTTAATATATATACATATATATATTATTAGACCCTCAGAATTCATCTTCTAACTGGAAGTTTGTACAATTTAACCAACATCTATCCATTGTCCCAATCTCTGAGCCCCTGGTAACTACCATTCTATTCTCTGTTTCTGTGAGTTTGGCTTTTTTTTAGATTCCACATATAAGTGATATCATACAGTATTTGTCTTACTCTGTCTCACTTATTTCACTTAACATAACACCCTTGAGGTCCGACCAGGTTGTTGTAAATGACAGGATTTCCTTCTTCCTCATGGCAGAATAATATTCCATATATATCACATCTCCTTTATCCATTCATCCATTGACAGACACTTAGGTTCTTCCTGATATTGGCTATTGTGCATAATACTTTAGTAAACATGTGAGTGAAGATATCTTTGATATTCTGGTTTTGTTTCCTTTATATATACACCCAGAAGTGGGATTGCTGAATCATATGGTAGTTCTATTTTTAATTTTTTGAGGACCCTCCATACTGTTTTCCATTGGCCGCATTACTTCCACTTCTACCAACAGTGCACAAGGGTTCCCTCTTCTCCAGATCCATGCCAACATTTGTCATCTCGTCTTTTTGATGATGCCCATTCTAACAGGTGTGAGGTGATATCTCGTTGTAGTTTTGATTTGCATTTCTCTAATGATTAGAGATGTTGAACATCCTTTCATGTATCTGTTGGCCATCTGTATGTCATCTTTGGAAAAATGTCTATTCAGTTCCTCTATTTTTTAATGGGATCAGTGTTTTGGGGTTTTTATTTTTTTTTGCTATTGAGTTGTATAAGTTCTTTATATATTTTGTATATTAACCACTTATCAGACATATGCTTTGCAAATAACTTCTCCCATTCCATAGGTTGCCTTTTCATTTTGTTTATTGTTTCTTTCACTGTGCAGAAGCTTTTCAGTTTGATGTCACCCCACTTATAAATTATTGCTTTTTGGTGCCATACCTAATTTGTTGCCAATACCAATGTCAAGGAGCTTTTTCCCTATGCTTCCTTAGGATTTTTATGGTTTCAGATCTTATGTTTAAGTCTTTAGTCCATTATGAGCCACTTTTTGTGAAGGGTGTAAGATAGGAGTACAATTTCATTTTTATGCATGTAGTTATCCCAACATCAACTATTAAAGAGACTATCATTTTCCCATTGAATCTTCTTAGATTCCTTGTCAAATATGGGGCAGTTTATTTCTGGGCTCTCAATTCTGTGCCATTGGTCCATTGTTTTGATTACTATAGCTTTGTAGTATAGTTTGAAATCAGGAAATGTGATGCCTCTGGCTTTGTTCTTCTTTCTCAGGATTGCTTTAGCTATTCAGGGACTTTTAGAGCTATACAAATTTTAGGGTTGTTTATTCTAGTTCTGTGAAATATGCCATTAAAATTTTGATAGGGATTGCATTGAATCTACAGATGGCTTTGGGCAGTGTGGACATTTTAACAATATTAATTCTTCCAATCCATGAACACCTATCTTTCCATTTTCTTGTGTCTCCTTCAATTTCTTTCATCAAATCTTGTAGTTTTCAGTGTACAAATATTTCACCTCCTTGGTTAAGTTTACTCCTAAGTGTTTTATTATTTTTGATGCTAGTGTAAATGGAATTTTTTTTTCAGAACAAAGTTGTTGTTCATGTATAGAAATGCAACTGATTTCTGTATGTTGATTTAATATCATGCAAATTTACTAAGTCTGTTGATTAGTTCTCATAGTTTTTCTGGTGGAGTCATTAGGGCTTTCTGTATATAAGGTAATATCATCTGCAACAAAGGCAATTTTACTTCTTCCTTTCCAATTTAAATATTTTTTCTTTCATTTTCTTGCCTGATTGCTCTGGTTAGACTTCCAGTACTATGTTGAATAAAACTGGTGAGAGTGGGCACCCTTGCCTTGTTCCTGAACTTAAAGGAAAAGATTTCAACATTTCACCACTATTATGTTAGCTGTGGGCCTGTTGTATATGGCCTTTATTATGTTGAGGTATAGTCCTTCTATATTCAATTTGTTGACAGGTTTTATCATGAAAGGATGTTGCATTTTGTCAAATGCTTTTTCTGCATCTATTGAGATAATCATTTTTTATCTTTCATTCTATTAATGTGGTGTATCACATTTATTGATTTGTATAGGTTGAAATTTCTTGCATTCCAGAGATAAATCCTGCTTGATCATTATGTATGATCCTTTTAATGTGCTCTTGAATTCAGTTTGCTAATATTTTATTTAGAATTTTTGCATTTAAATGCATATTTTTATTATTATATAAATTTCAGGTGTACAGTATTATAATCCAGCATCTGTATACACTGCAAAGTGATCATGACCACAAGTCTAGTTACCATCCTTCACCATACAAGTGTGACCCCCTACCCCTACTTTGCCCACTCCCCAACCCCCTTCCCCTCTGATTACTAATCTGATCTCTGTATCTGTGAGTTTGTTTTTGTTTTATTTTGTTTGTTCATTTGCTTTGTTTTTTATAGATCCCACATATTAGTGAAATGATACGGTATTTGTGTTTCTCCATCTGACTTATTTCACATAGCATAATACCTTCAAATGTTGTCACAAATGGCAGGATTTCATTATTTTTTATGGCTAAGTAGTATTCCATTGTGTGTATGTATGTATATATACACACATCTTCTTTATTCATTCATCCATTGATGAACACTTAGGTTGTTTCTATATCTTGGCTATTATAAATAATGCTGCAATGAACATAGGGGTGCATGTATCTTTTCAAATTAGTGTTCTCATGTTCCTCAGATAAATACCCAGCAGTGGAATAGTTGGACTATATGGTAGTTCTATTCTTAATTTTTGAGGGCTCTCCATACCATCCTCCATAGTAGAAAATGGTGTATGAGGGTTCCCTTTTCCTCACATCCTCTCCAACATCTGTTATTTCTTGTCTTTTTGATAATAGTCATTTTATTTTATTTTATTTATTTATTTTCTGCGGTACACGGGCCTCTCACTGTTGTGGCCTCTCCTGTTGTGGAGCACAGGCTCAGCGGCCATGGCTCACGGGCCCAGCCACTCTGCGGCATGTGGGATCTTCCCGGACCAGGGCATGAACCCATGTA